ATAGATAGATAGATAGATAGATAGATAGATAGATAGATAGATAGATAGATAGATAGATAGATAGATAGATAGATAGATAGATAGATAGATAGATAGATAGATAGATAGATAGATAGATAGATCTTTTGGGGCTGGTGGCCCTAATTTTTGTCTTCATATTTGAGCTATATAAATATAATTTCAAAGATAGCAACTATACAGGTTGATAGAATTGAATCAAATACAAACTGCGACATTTGTATTTGTGTGTGACATAATAAGTAGGTTTCTGTAGTATTACAATCATTTTACAATTTTGCGTTTGGGGCCGGGGACATTATCATTTTTTTTTATGTGAGCTATAACAATATAATTTCAAACACAGCTACTGCATGTGGGATCAATCGCTACAAGTGTGTGGACCAAAGTTTAGTTTGAAATCCATGCTTCTAACGTGGAAATTTCTTTGTGGCCTGCTCATGCGTCGAAGAAGCTTCTCATTTATTTGTGTACGCACCAAACGGAAAAAAAGCAAAAATATTTTCTATTTTAAATTACGTTTAAAAACGAAATTATAACACAAATACTTTTTTTTTCTTTTAGTGGCCTAGCAACCCATGCCGGGTACTCACTTGTATAAAAGAGATTTCTTTTTTTTACTTAAACATATTAGTTGGTTAAATGAATATGCAGCATAAAAATGAGTGGGACATAGAATCTTAACATGAATAAAATAATTTTAAAACGCGTATAAAAGATGTATACAAAAAAACTTTGTTTTTAGTGAGTTGTTTAATTGTGTTATTAGTGAGTCAATAGAAACAAACTTTTTAAGGATTAAGATGATGTACACCACGTAAAACTGCAAGGCTGCTCGACAATGCGTCGCGTATCTGATCGTACCCAACTCTGTATCTATTTCAGCTGACCCAAGATGATAAAAAAAAATCGGTTGTGACTTGAATTTTTTGTAGGTGAATGTGTCGGGGAGAGGGGCGGGTGGAAGCGGTCGCTTTGTTATTGCAAGTGTTTTGTTGTTTTTTTTTGGTTGTTTTTTTTTATTGTGATATATAATGACAAGGTTTCAAATTGCAGTCTCTCAAAATTTCGTCCCTCCCCCTAGGGACGTCATTTGGGAACGGCAGGATGGGGCATTTTTTGCCCCCACCCCCCACCCCCCTTGAATTTGAAGGTTTTATTTGAAATTTTATCTACTGAGAGGCCCCCAGTAACAAAAAACTTAACAAGCCAAACAAGTTTTGGTGTTGCCCACACCCTCCGAAAAAAAACTAACATGACGCCCCCCCTGTCTCTCCCCTATTTCACAAAAACTACAATGCAGAGAGAATAAAAGCTCTCCTTAATCCTCGTAGATGGAATAGTTGCGAATTCAAAGCAAATAGGATTGAAGTACATGGGAGCAACGAGTGGGAATTCACTCCCCCCCCCCCCCCCCAATCTTAAACCCTATCCATCTTACAACCCCCAGTTTTCACCCTCCACAATTAATATGTATTTATTTCTAGCAACAACAAAAACGTACAGGGATCCTGTCCCCATGAGTCCCTGAAGAAATCGAGTCTTGATTAATAAAACAAGAAGCGTTTTAAAACTGGATGTATCATATCGAAAACTAGATAAAAAGGTCTTAACATACCTATTATTAGAAGAAAAGATGGAAGAGAGCTCACTTAGGGCTAGAGGATTGAGATTTTACTGGAAAGGATAGAAGCTACGTTTTAAAAAAAAAATCCCCCTATAGAAGATATAGAGCAATTAGATAACTTATAAGTAGATAGGTGTCAATTGGGTGGCCGAGCAGTCTAAACAGATTCAGTTACAAGCTTGTGGACTTGTGTTCCACCCCCCCACCCCCCCCCAGCCAAAGCCAAAAAGCAAGTAGAAAACAAAACAAGCAACACCGAGAGTTTAGGACTCGTTCACCTTGGATGGCAACCCATCTAAGAGGAGGCAGACTTGGATGGCAACCCATCTAAGAGGAGGCAGACTTGGATGGCAACCCATCTAAGAGGAGGCAGACTTGGATGGCAACCCATCTAAGAGGAGGCAGACTTGGATGGCAACCCATCTAAGAGGAGGCAGACTTGGATGGCAACCCATCTAAGAGGAGGCAGACTTGGATGGCAACCCATCTAAGAGGAGGCAGACACTGAAATCAAAACCCGGTTCTGTTCCGTAGGCGCAATGACTTGGACACGGTGAAACTTCCGACAAATCCTGCGACGTGGAACGTATAGCAGCTCAGTGAAACAAACGAAACACTGCTGATCATCTGCTGTGTCCTGGTCTATTTCCAGTCGTCGTCGTGACTAAGTCTCGCCATTTGAAAAAAATAGGCGAGGACGAGAGAGTGACGCTGACGCATTGTGCAACTCACCCTCACAAGAGGGCAAATTACAGCTCAAATCAAAACTACTACTCAATTTGAGGCATTGTCCATCTTCTCATGCAAAAGATCAACTATAGGTGTCACCATAAACAATAGCGAACGTGACATGGCCACAGTGCAGAGCTGTAGATGAGCACTCTATATAGAAATAGGATTCGAATTGAATGTAGACTAAACTTAAGTATGTTTTATTTTTATTAATTTATTTTTTTTAAAAACCTGTGCTCAGACTTTCACGGACGAAACTCTGCAGTTGTCACAAAATGCCGCCCCTCCATACAAAGAAAAAGTAACACCTGTGCAGACCACCCTATTCCCCCCCCTGCCAAGCTACATTGTTTGGCATTTGGGGACAAGATTCAATTTTACACCCCCCCCCCCTTTTAACTTTTTTATTTTTTAATTTCCATTATTTTCATCCCTGAAATACTTCAAGGTTCATTTTGGCGCCACCGCTAGTCTGGCACCCATGACTATCTGCCCCCTCCCCCCAATCTCTACCCTGCCTAGCTACGCCTCTGGTCACTGGCTCTGCCTACCTTAAAATCTAAAATGCCTACCCCCCCTCCCCCCAAGCCGCCCCCTCCCCACTCCCCACGGAGGAAATAGTTTAAAAGAAACTTGATGAGACAAGTTCGATCAGGTCAAATACTTTCTTTTGATGTAAGGATCCTACAATATAACAATTCATATGACACCCCCCCCCCCNGACAAGTTCGATCAGGTCAAATACTTTCTTTTGATGTAAGGATCCTACAATATAACAATTCCTATGACACCCCCCCCCCCCTTTTGGCAAATCTATCAGCATTGACCGGCGTGTTCCCAAGGCTGTTATCAAATGTAAATAACCGCTCTTTAATCTCATATTGTCACTAATGGGGTGAAGTTCCTTGCCATATGATGGCGTATTTTTAGCGTTTGAGAAATACTTAAGAAGACCTGTGTTTATTGTCCTAGTTTAATTTAAACAATTTTTTTTTTTGGTGCCTTTGATGAGTGAGTTTATTTTTGAGTTGAAACTGAATTTTTACAATATATTTGTAAAAGATATTTCAATTTATTTGGAGTAATAAAACAATCCTATCGAACCTGATAGCAGTCAGCATTTCTCAATGCACTACAATGTTATTGGAAAAAATGGTCCATAGTTTTCAATATCTGGTGTCGTCAGACGTTATCAAAAATGTCTGCATACCTCGTGACCATAGATTACAATAATAATATTAAAGAAATAGTTATATTCAAAATTTAAAAAAAAAGCAATAAAAAAAGGCTAGTCTCAATTGGCTACTAATGAGCGCATCGGCTACAGGCTGTCCTTAATGTGCTAATTAGGTGAGTATCTCGTACAGGCTGTTCTTAATGTGCTATTTAGGTGTGCATCTGGTACATGCTGTTCTTAATGTACTATTTAGGTATGTATCTAATAAAGGCTGTTCTTAATGTGCTAATTAGGTGTGTATCTGGTAAAGGCTGTTCTTAATATGCTCTTTGGATCTTAATATTCTAATTAAATATGTATCTATAACAGGCTGATCTTAATGTACTATTTAGATGAATATCTGGTACAGGCTGTTATTAATACGCTTTTTAGGTATTTATCTGATTAAGTCTGCTTTTAATATGCTAATTATATGTATATCTGGTTCAGGTGGTTCTTAATATGCTAAGTTGGTAAGTATCTGGTAACGACTGTTCTTAATATGCTATTTAGGTTTTTATCTGATGAAGGCTGCTTTCAATATGTTAATTAGATTTGTATCTGGTACACGCTGCTCTTAATGTGCTAATTAGGTGAGAATATGGTACAGTCTTTTCTTATGTGCTACTTAGGTATGTATCTGATACAGGCTTCTCTTAATGTGCTACTAACTTGTTTATCAGGTACAGGCTGTTCTTGGTATGCTTTTCAGGTTTGAGCTTCTCTTACACTATAATTTTTTTTAAATTATCTTAGATGACGTTCACCGATCGGAGCAAGAGTTTAGCAGTAGCAGACGTAGAAATGGAGCAAAGAGATGTCGTCCAATTTTACTGTAAACCGCTTGCGATTTCGGAAAAACAAAACAAGTACAATGATGAAATTAAAATCAATTATGTCCTCTCTCTCTCCACCCAAAATAAGACCCCCCCCCCCCTCTTTTTTTCCAATTTCATTTTCCTATTAACACAGTATTCGATTTTTAGCAACATTTATTTTTTTTTAAAAAAAAAAAAAAAATAAAAAAAAAAAAAAAAAAAAAAAATTTTTTTCCAATTTCATTTTCCTATTAACACAGTATTCGATTTTTAGCAACATTTATGTCTTTTTAAAAAAATAAAAAAAATAAAAAAAAAGAAAAAGAAAAAAAGCATCCATGGCCGTAAATAGGTCAATGATTAAACATTTTATAGTTGTAACAGACTAAGTCTGGGCCAGGCGCTGACGCACGTACCCGGAAATGTTGATTATAAGTCACCCATACACTTTCTGGATCCGGTCAATGAAACGGTACCTGGTCCGGGCCCGGTGTTGAAGGAAAAAGAATAATGAAAAGCTTAATTAATAATAATTTTAAAACATAATTTCGTTGTACGTTTTCCTTAATTAAAAACTCTTATTAAAAAAACAACAACTGGCAAAGCAGTTAGAAACTAAGTGTAAGTAAACTAAATTGACTGCCACTCGTTGAAAATAATAATGTACTTGCTGCGAATTTCGTGTAGTTATTTGTCTTAGCAAGAAGGGCATCTTTGGTTATGACCATGGCACTGTCTGTTTAAAATTAATATTTTATTTCACATGCTGACTGGTGGACTTCTTTGTGTGTGTGTGTGTGTGTGTGTGTGCGTGCGTGCGTGCGTGCGTGCGTGCGTGTGTGTGTGTGTGTGTGTGTGTGTGTGTTCACGTCGAGGGCTTTTAAGCGTGTGGCTTTGGGTAGTTTACTAGGACGTAGTTTACGTGACAGTGACTGCTCTGCTGCCTCCAGGGTTAATCTTTGAGAACGTACCCGCTTTGAAACGTTAAATTGCGTTTTCATGGGTCTTCTTGCCTAAACCACTTGATCAAGACGTCCCTCTATTTCGGCAACGTTGCCTGAGGGTGTCATGTATAACTGAAACAGCACTACAACACGCTAAAACCTATGAATAACGACTGCAACTGCACTGAAACACGCTATCACCTGTGAATACCGACTGCATCAGCACACAATCAAGTTAATGCCTGTGAATAATTACTGCAACCGACCCAATCACAGTAATGAATAACGACTGCAACAGCACTCAATCACGCTATCACCTGTGAATAACGACTGCAAAAGCACTCAATCACGCTATCACCTGTTAATAAAGACGACAACAGCACTCAATCACGCTATCTCCTGTGAATAACGACTGCAAAAGCACTAAATAACGATTATACCTGTAAATAACGTTTGCAACTGCACTCAATCACGCTAATAACTGTGAATAACGACGTCAGTATTTCATTACTCTCATGGGTGTGTCCAGCACAAAACTTTATACAAAGGGGACTACAGTTATCTCTCAACACACACTGACTACAGCCTCTGGCCGACTCTAACAACAGTAGAATGACATACGAGACTAACCCTCACTCAAGACACTGCTCGGCTACTGTACATAAACTTGACGTGAGGTCTACGTGAAATAACGACGACTACCTGTCTTCTCGACATCACCGACCTTATGATATGCAAAACACATGTTTATTGCTATCCGCTTTCATCTAATCTAATCAAAATTTAGACGGAAAACTACAAATTCATGGTGACAACAAACTCATGGTGACAACAAACTCATGGTGACAACAAACTCACGATGACAACAAAATCATGGTGACAACAAACTCATGGTGACAACAAACTCATGATGACAAAAAACTCATGGTGACAACAGACTCATGGTGACAAAAAACTCATGGTGACAACAAACTCATAGTGATAACAAACTCATGGTGACTACAAACTGATGGTGACAACAAATGCATGGTGACAAAAAACTCATAGTGACAACAAACTCACGGTGATGACAGTCTCATGGTGAACTACAAACTCATGATGACAACAAACTTATGATGACAACAAATTCATGGTGACAACAAACTCATAATGACTCTAAATTAATTTTGGAAACAACTCATGGTGGCAACAAACTTATTGTAATATAAAACTTATGGTGACCACAAACTTATGGTGACAACAAACTTATGGTGACCACAAACTTATGGTGACCACAAACTTATGGTGACAACAAACTCAAGATGACAACAAACGTATGGTGATCACAAAATCGAGGTGACAAAAAACTCATGGTGACAGCAAATTAATGGAGGCTACAAACTCACAATGACAACACACTTGTGGTGACAACATACTTGTGGGTACAACAAACTCGTGGTGACAACAAATTTCATGGTGACAACAAACACATGAAGGCAACGGATTAGGGTGGCAACAAACTCATAATGACAACAAACTCATGCTGACAATAGCTCATGTTGGCATCAAACTTATTGTGACAACAAACACATGGTGACAACAAATGTTTGCAGATAACATACTTATGTTAAAAACACATTCTTGGTGACAACAAACTCATGGTGACAACAAACTGACTGTGACAAGAAACTCGTTGTGACAACAAACTCTCTGTGACAACTCATGGTGACAACTCACACTAATTAAAGATTCGAATATTTTTAAACCTATCTCTGCACCCTGTTTGATTTTTTTTTTTATGAAAAAGAAAAAAAAATCATCACTTCTCAACGGCTGAGAATTGACGGTATAGTTTCTGAATAAAAATTATTTTCCTTAATATGTTAAACATAAACAATTCAAAAAGGAGGATGTTAATCATTTCATAGCAAAAATACTTATGAACTTTTATTTCATAACCATTATTAAAATGTAATTTTGGAAAAAGCGATATACTATTGGAAATCCTTAACCCTGAGTAGAATTCACAACTAACATGTTTAAAAAATTGTTTTTTCCATTTTTCATTTAAAGCTTTGTTGAGGTCATTGCAGCATACTAAATGTGTTGTAATTTTTCAATAGCCATTCCAGCATGATGCAGTCAAGTGATGTCGATCTGCTTCTTATTGGTAAAACCGGACACGGGAAGAGTGCCACAGGAAATGCAATCCTCAGACGAAGAGCTTTCAAAACTAGCGGGAACGCTTCTTCGGAGACCCAGAAAATAGACTACGAAGTTAGTGACTACAACGGCCGAATTCTAAAAATTGTTGATGGACCTGGCATCGGGGACACTCGGATGACAACGGATTCGGCGGTTCAAATTGTGTTAAATGCTACGGCAGAGGCCATAGCCACAAACCCAAAGGGCTACCACGCGTTCCTCCTAGTCGTGAAGTACGGCCAACGATTTACTGGAGAGGAGCAAGAAACTATTGGGTTTCTAAAGAACATTTTTGGTGATACATTCGTTAAAGAATTTTGCATTCTGCTCATGTCCAATGGAGACACCTTCGAGAAGGAGAGCAAAGAAATTGGCCAGACGTTTGAAGATTGGTGCGGGTCACAAACTGGAGCTTTTAAATCTTTACTGTCAGAGTGTAATAACAGAATTGTTCTATTCAATAATTCAACAAAAGATGAAGATATTATAGACAAACAACTAAGACAACTTTTATCTGTAGTGGAACGACTGAGTTCGAAAGGGCAGAGATACACAGACAAGAATTTTGAGGCAGCCAAGGATGCCCGTATGCGAGTCTTGGTTGATGCACAGGAGCCACTTATAAGGGACGAGACTATGCAAGAAACTAGTCTCATTCTACAAAACCTGGAGCAGATTCAGGCTTGTGACCATTTCGAAACCAAACTGAACCTCTTGGAGAAACTCCTTGTTCGGGCAGAATCCTTATTTGAAAGCATTTCGACTTTAGACAGAGGAACCGGGGCACTACATGAAATCGTTCAGATGGTCAAGTCCATCAAATCAACAATATCGGATGAAATCAAATTCACCATCAGAAACCAAGAAGAGAGTCAAAGGATGAAAAAGATAGAAGAGGAGCTAAAGAAAAAAGCAGATGAAGAGACTGAAATAATTCGTCAACATTTCGAACTCATATTGAATCAGGAGAGACTTGCACACCAGCAAGAAGTTGAAATTTTAAGACAACAAGAGAAAACAAACAAAGACCTGGAAAGGAAAATGAATACAAAGATAGAACAGGGTATCAAGGAACATTTGAAACAGTTTGAAAAGAGACGTCTTAAACAGGAACATAAAATGGAAAATCTAGAGAAACAATACAGACAGACCAAGGAGAAAAATGACCGGAGTATTTTAAACATGATGCTCAGTGGAATCACCTGGCCTTTCAGGAAAATAGCCAGCTTGTTCAGCTAAAAGTCCACCGCAGCATCAGCTAATCTTGTCATATTCCGCTTCGAACGCCTCTACAATTTAAGATTCTAAAAATTAAAAAAGGCGAAAAATGTTGAGTTTACAGTAAATGAAATGAAAATTGAACCTTGTGTTTTCTTTTATAACAACAGGATGAGATATAGCATACATAGATCGTAGGGATTTTGAACACAGATAATTTGATCTTATTCCCAAAAACAAATTACTTAATAAGGATTTAATTTGAGCAAACTTCCATAAACATACAACTTTTTAAGAAACAATTCGCAGACCAGTCAGCAAACAAAGAATACTTATCTAAGATACACGTACAAAATCATTGACGTAATATTAAATGATTTGAAAACCACATAAAATAGTTGTTTCAAAATTCAAGCCTAGTACAAATTAAAAACAAAATTTTTCATTTTTCATTTCAAATTTAAGATGCAATTTTTAATATTTTCAGATTTGTGTTCGTGTACAAAGTATAATTTCGTTTATATTTAAAATAATGATGTTTTTATTTTGAATAAAATTGTTTAATATGACGTTAAACAACTTGTATATGTAGAACTAGAAGAACGCCCGATCATTTTTCTTTATAGTCGAAGGCCTAATGGTCAATCTCAATTTTGTGGACTGGAGTTCAATCCCCAGCAAAAGACTACATAAGTTGAAACGTCACCCGCACCGAGGCTGAGTGGGACTCGCTAACTTCAACTCATCTAAGAGAAAGAAAACCTTCAGTTGAAACCCGTGGATGACGTCCCTTGAAACGACGAAAATTCTGGCAACTCCTACGTCGGCACTGTTTTCAGCTGAAAGTGCACCTCTGTGTGCAACATACACATTTTATCAAATTTTTTGTTCGACATTTGGCGGATTTTAAGCTATTGTGCAATTTACAATTAAGGCAACGAGTTATCCCGTTGAATGATGAGATCTTGCGGCCTAAGTTAATCAAATTATATGATAAATGTAATCAAATAAATAGCACATGTGTTTTGGGAACCACGTAGGTTATGACCACTGCTTAATATATGAATTCAATGAGGTTGTTTTTTTTTTTTACAGAAACTTTAAAGATCAAACAAATGAAAACCAGCAAAAGTGATGTATGATCATAGAGACGCTATAATCAGTCAAGCGATAATTTTCTATTAAATTCTCTGAGGGATCAATTAAAGATATAGTTTATTATTTAGTAATTGAATTTAGTGCTGCTTGACTAGACATATCAAAAGGACTAATCAATTGATATCTACTATTTAACAATTAAAATCAGTGTTGTTTGGCTACAGTAACCTATAATGGCTCAATCGAATGAGATCGACTTGCTTCTCATCGGCAAAACTGGGAATGGAAAGAGTTCAACGGGAAATACGATCCTCGGTCGTAAAGCTTTTAAAGCCGGTGGCAGTGCAATGTCAGTGACTCAGTGCATCGCCTGTGATTTCAGTTTAGTCAGCGGTCGTGTAATCACGGTCGTTGATTCACCAGGCATAGGAGACACCCGATACATTTGCGAAAAAGAAGTCGAACTGGTCAACAACGCCATGGAAAAAGCAATAGCCATCAACCCAGAAGGCTATCACGCATTTATTCTGGTATTAAAGTACGGCCAACGGTTTACTGGAGAGGAACAGAACACAATCAAGTTCCTGGAGTCAATTTTCGGGGACTCTTTTGTTAAGGAATTCTGTGTGATCGTGATGACTGGAGGGGACATGTTTGACAAGGATGAGACCGGTCTTACTTTTCAAAAATGGTGCAAGTCGCAGACTGGGGCCTTTCAATACCTACTTGGACAGTGTAGAAACAGAATTGTGCTATTCAACAACAAAAACGAGGATAAAGGCATCAAAGAAAGGCAGGTCGAAACGCTTATCTCCATAGTGGACCAGATATGGTCGAAGGGAAAGCGGTATACGGACGAGAACTTTGAAAAAGCCAGGGTCTTTCGAACACGCTACATGGTGCAGGCTAGTGCCTCAATAGTGCGAGATGATGTCATGAGAGAAACCGGTCTGATCATACAACAGCTCGAACATCTTCTATTTTATAACGTCAAAGATCACGATGTTGAGGATTTAAAGGCGCTGTTAGCTCGAACTGAAGCCTTACGCGATGGCCTTTATCTAAAAGATAAAGCCACCGGGGTGCTCCTCGATCACATCAAGATGGTCAAATCTATTAAGGAGACCATATGGTCTATTATTAAATACACCACTGTTGTAAATGCGAAAGATAAGGAGCTAGGGAGTGACGAGCATAGTGACACAAAAAGAAATCGAGAGATGGAAAAAATGGAGAGAGATTTAAAGAAATGTATACATGAAAAACAGCTCAAACAGAGCCGCAAAGTAGAGAAAGTGACGAAGTGGTACAGAGAAGTGAAACAGAGAAATGACAAAACAATTTTGAGCAACGTTGTCAAGGGAATACTTTGGCCATTTAAACAACTTGCGAGAGTTTTTCTCAAAAAGGCCGCAGACCCGACAGAATGAACTCAGTATTTATAGACACTAATCAAAGAATGTGATGTCTTTCAGGCGCTTAGAGGAGCTTAGGGAGGTTTATTTATAATTTTTTTTTTAAAGTGGTGTGCTGAACGTCTCAAGAAATGTGAACTATAGTGTAACCCGCAGGCCTAACTAAATTAATAAAAATCAGTTTGTGCTGTTTGTTTACAGAACCGAATCTTTCCAAAAAAAAATAATTTTACCGAAATATATCATATCCATTTCTATATAAATAGTTATTTGAGGAAACCAGAGATGCCCGTATGTGAGTCATTGCACAGAAGCCTCAGTCAAATAAACGGGCATATGCCGCAGCTAAAAAAGGAGATTCCCCATGGCGTAAAATTATACACTAAAAAATGGAGAAACCATACAAAGGAAATACAATGGGATAAAAACATATAGATAAAAACCTATATATATATAAAAATGTATGTTAACAAAATATAAATATGATTTATAAAGTATTTGTTTTATTTAAATATCCAGATATTTTATAACTAAATGTTTTAAATAATAAATCCATGGCTATTTATTGTCTTTTTGTAATTACACTTTCACGTCATCTTAAGCACTAGAGGTTTTGCATTCATTGACTTACAGCAAAGTCCCAAATTAAGTCAATTCAGAATCGACCATATATATCCAGAAATTTTCCCCCACAAAAAAAACATAAGACCTACAATTCCATCAATTTTCTAAGATGCAAAGTTATGCAGTTTCGTTTCTTCTGATCAGATTTCATTATAAGAATTTTGCACCAAATACACCAGATGTCAATATTTGAAACTTTGAGATAGACACAACAAGTATGCAGTATCATACCATCTCAACCTATGGTTACAAACTGCGGATGGCCCCTCAGAAATTTTAAAAAAAAAAAAAGACTGAGAATATGTGGTCTGATTTATAAATGGCAAAAAGCTTCAACATCAAGTAATCTTGTTCTATTTTCAAAGTTTTAATGATTTATAATATTTCAAACATTACAATGAAATTCTATCATCTTTCATGCTCAGTTAGAATCCATCATGTATTTTAGACGCAAACAATTAGAATAACGTTGAAACAAAATATATACAATGAAAACTAAAAATTAACAAATAAAAAAAAAAGATAGTTATGCGGACAACTTGCCAGTTTGTAATTTATATTTAATAAATTATATAGTCATTTTTTAATTATAATTTAATTGTTTACATCGGACATTTGAAGTATGAAGAGTAAATGTGTAAAGTCATAATTTTTTAAAATGTTTAAATTCATGTGTTACCGAATGAAATAATATACGTGGCCTTTTATGATTTAAAAATGTATTGATGACAATTGAGGTACATGTGTATTGAACTTCATCATAATTTAGAAAAATGCAATTTTTTGAAGCAAAATGGAGGTAGACTTTTTCTTTCCTGTTTTTCTTCATTTTTCTTCATTTTTATTTTGTTTTCCTTTTTTTTCTTTTTCATTTTATTATTTTTTTTTTTAAATATTTGTTTTAATTTTATTTTTTTTAATTTTTACTGATTTATTTAATTCTTTAAAAATATTGTATTTATTTTTATTTATATTTGTAATTAATTATTTTTAAAAATTAAAAATGTTCAAAAAGTCATTTTATTTTTTTGATTGGATTAGTCTAAGCTATTATATTTTTTTAATTAATTTTTTTTTATAAAAAAAAAAATTAATTATCTTTCATAATTTTTTTTCAATTCTTTTTTTTTTTATATTTTTATTTTTTTTTTTTTTTTTTTTTTTTTTTTTTTTTTTTTTTTAATTAATTTTTTTTAAAAATTAAAAATTTTTAAAAAGTTATTTTATTTTTTTTATTTGATTAGTCTAAGCTATTATATTTTTTTAATTAATTTTTTTTTATAAAAAAAAAAATTAATTATCTTTCATAATTTTTTTTCAATTCTTTTTTTTTTTAGATTTTTAATTTTTTTTTTAAATATTGTTAATTTATTTATTTATTTTTAAATCAAAAGTCTTAGCATCTTTGAACCTTATTATAGACAAAACTAATAATAATTTATTTCTGTTGTTTACAATTGTTGATAGCCTGCTTTAAATTTATGTTTCATTTAATTTCCTGAAGAAAATATTGATCAATATTTAAACAAAAGAAATAAAAAAATCTATAAAATAAAATGTCTATTTGATTTACTGCTATGCGAAATATGTGTTTAAACAAAACTATTGGAGTTTAGTTGGTTTTTTAATATTACACTCGTATTCATTAATGAAACGTATCAACCATTGTTTTTAAAAATAAAGATATATGTTTTTTTCTGAGCTTAAATTATGTAATGTTATAGCCTGAGGGTGTGGATGGGGGTGATCCCATGCCCTCCCCCCTTACATCGGATAGGTCAAACATTTTGGCCCCCCACTTCAACGAGAACATTCTGCAGTTGGTAGACAAAGCCGATAATGAATAGCTAACCGTCTCTCTCTCTCTCTCTCCCTCTCTATTTATATTTTCGTCGTTCTGTCTGTCTCTAAATCTATCTCGTTCTATGTTGTTCTATCTTTCCCTTAGACTCGGCTATATAAAAAGATAAGATTTAATATAACTCTGGCCAATCTTTTTTTTTTTTTTCATCCATCCAATGAAAATTCAGTTAAAAAAAACAAACAATTTTATTATGTAATTGTTACAGCACATTGAGGCTGAAACTTAAATTTAAATTGGAATAAACTAGTGAAGAGAAAGCTGCTCATTTGTTCGACTCACATATTGTGTGCTAAATAGTGTGTGCTAAAATATTGTGTGCTAAAATGGTGTGTACTAAAATATTGTAAACTTAAATATTGAGCGCTAAAATATAGTGTGCTAAATAAGTGTGTGCTAAAATAGTGTGTGCTAACATATTGTGTGCTTAAATTTTGTGTGCTAAAATATTGTTTGCTAAATAATTGTGTGCTGACATGTTGTTGTGCTAAAAATATTGTGTGCTAAAATGTTGTGTGCTAAAATATTTTGCGTAAAAATATTATGAGCTAATATATTGTGTGCTAAAATAATGTTATTTAAAATATTGTGTGCGAAAATATTTATTGCTAAATAATTGTGTGCTGAGATGTTGTGTGCTAAAATGTTGTGTGCTAAAATATTTTGCGTAAAAATATTATGAGCTAACATATTGTGTGCTAAAATAGTGTTATTTAAAATATTGTGTGCGAAAATATTTATTGCTAAAAGAGTACATGCTAAAAATATTGTGCCAAAATATTGAGTTCTAAAATAGTGTATGCTAAAATATTATGCGCTAAAATATTATGTGCTAACATATCGCATTCTTAAATAGTGTGTGCTAAAATTTTGTGAGCTAAAATATTGAGTGCTAAAATACTGTGTGCTGAAATAGTGTGGACTAAAATATTTTGTTCTAAATATTGTCTAATAAAATATCTTGTGTTCAAAGAATCTTAGCTAAAATAGTGTGTGCTAAATTTTGTGCTAAAATTTTGTGTGCTTAAATATTGTGTGCTAAAATATTCTGTGATAAATTATTGTGTGTTAAAATATTGTGCCCCAAAATATCGTGTGCTAATATGTTGTGTGATAAAATTTTGTGTGCCAAAATATTATGCACTAAAATATTTTGTTCTAAAATATTATGTACTGAAAATGAATAAATGAATGTATAAAATGAAGTGTACTAAAATACTGTGTGCTCGACCAATTCAAGCTGTCATTTTCCAGAGCAAAATTATAAATTTAAAAAAGGCAGAAAAAAAAGAAAAAAAAACAAACAATGTCCCACACTAAGACTACTTTGTGCGAAAAAAATTGAATTATTATGCAGTGACTTTCTGTAAACATAACACTTAAAATTGCATAAATTGCTAAGATGATATGTCTGGAGTTAGCCAAAAAATGTAAATACGTCTCTCCTCGGCTCTCAAAATATATTTTTTTCTATTCGGTTAAAGGCAAGAGTAAAAGAGTTTAAGCTTATAACTTTGTGCATAAGAGCTATCTTTCCTCCCCCCCCCCCCCCCATTCCCCCTTTGAGTAAAACATCTTTTATTGTCTTGACTGTAATCGTGAGTGCCAAACCAGATGAAACAATGTAAAAAAAATTCTCATGCTGAGGCATCCGGGGTGGGGGGGGGGAGGGGGTGGTGGCGGGTAATGATTGTAACTTCAGACACATGAGATCAGTGTAGAGTCGTAGGTAACCATGGAGACCTACTTTGCAACTGAAACATTGTCGCCCTGCTTTGTTCTTAGCACACAGTCACTGCAGTTTCCTCAGGAAATTATTGCCATGCGTGATCCTAAAAATAAACATTATGTGACGCTTTGGATTTTAACAGGAAAATAAATCAAGCATTCAGGAGGTTTTAGGTGTTCTCAAAGCTCTTCTAGACAAGCTCTGTTAAACATTATGCACAAAGACATAATATAGCGAAATTTGTCCATACCAGGGGTGGCCGACACGTTGCAGCCCGCGGAGCTAGTTCAAAAGAACATACATTTTATTTTACATATCACCAAAAGAACATTGCTTCATGACGCGTTCGTATCATAGATTTTAAATTAAAGCTAAGAGAAATTTGAAAGAATTCCTTGGTTTTTAGCTATTTTCAATGTCCCACTATTTAATACTCAAAGTTACTTTTTTTTTTTTTTTTCGACGCTAGGTGTTGATACAATATAATATGGGAATTCAACTCCTGCTACACATGTTCTGTTGTTTAAACGTTTTCTGGAAGCTTGCTATGCTTTCAGACTCATACTCATAACTGCTTTCACTCCAGCTTGGAAAAGTTCCGTGTTATTCTGTAGTTTCGTTCTATTCTCGCCACTGCGTCTGGAGAGATTTTCCGATTGACGTTAAAATAACATATTTAAAGGACCAAATAAGAGAAGAATTACTAAATACCGGCACTTAAGAAGTTTTCAAGACTATAAACTATTTTTTCGTCGGAATTAAAGCAAAGTTCATATGATTAATATGCAACAAATCTGTTTCTGTTGAAAGAGTATAACAATCAAAAGGCACTACGAGACTAAACATAAAAATGAGTTTGATAAGTACAAAGGGAAATTTCGACAAGACCAAGTAAATGATTTTTTTTTTTAACTTCTGCACAACAAAATTTATTTACTAGAGCTGGCTCAGGCTCAACATGCCATGTAAAAGCTATTTATGCAGTAGCCATGATACTAGCAAAAAATCGAAGCCACATTCAGATGTAGAAATGGTTAAGGAATAGTTGAAAAGCATCGTTTAAATTTTGTGTCCAGAAAATGATTTCTCAAAATAAGCCTGTCTCGTCAGACTATTACTAGGCGTGTGGACGACATTGGAAAATAATATTTTGGAAAATAATTTGACAAGTCGAGCATCTGAGTTATATTTTATGCACTGGCATTGGATGAAAGCACAGACATGGCAAACACTGCCCAAATAGCAATTTTTATCAGGGGTGTTGACAGGGCCGGCTAGAGAAGAGTATTTGACACCCTAGGCGAACCTGTCGCACTGCGCCCCCCTCGCCCATGGCAACTAATTATTTAATTAATATTAACTTTCACAAATGTATACTGTGCTGCCATTTGTTTCAATTCGTATTTACATTCAATAGAATCTCTATATGTATAATGGTATATTATGTAATTTCAACACTTTATTTTTCGCGCTTTGCTTTAGCAAATGTAGAAACGAGTTCCATCATTTTAATATCTCTAGTAATTTCATGTTCAATTGACAGAGTAGCTAGTCCAACAAGTCTTTCTTATAGCATGGATGTTCGCACATATGTTTTTATGAGTTTAAGCTTCGAGAAGCTTCGCTAACCACTAGCCACAGAAACTGCAAGTGTCAAGAGGATTCGCAGAGCTATAACAGTGTTGGGGAAACTGCTAGATTATTTTTCAATATAAAGTTTAGTACATCCTGTGGCGATGTACACCGTGCAACTCGTCTTGAAATGGTTTTCAGTTCACTGCTTAGATCAACTGCATCAATATCTTTGGAGTATGCATGTTGCCAAGCTTTCTCAAGATTCAAGCAATGTCCCATAACTTCATTGCTAGTTTTATTCTGCAAACTGTGAGCTTCATAGAGGAAACCAAACACCGAACTAATTTATAGAATCAGAATGAATCTTTCTTGAAACGATTGTATTGCTGCGTCAAGAGCAGCGAAGTAAAAGTTTACTTTGAATTTGTCATTTGGATCCTGAATAGGTTCGTTGCATTAATTTTGCCCCCCGCCCCTTTTCCCATCTTGCACATTAAAGGAGAAACGGGCAGCAAAAAGCTTAAAAGTGGCTGTCTGTGTTTTGAAGTCTAAAAAATGTAGAGACCCAGAATGGGTAAAAAGGCATAAGAAGAAGATTTACAAAGTGACCAAGCTGACAGGCTCGGAATTTACCTCACT